ATTTATATTTTAATTAGAAAATTAAAATAGGCATTTAAGAAAGTGGCACAAAAAACAACAAATCAAGCTTGAAATTAAAATCCGCTAAACAATACAACAACAATAACAAAAGTGGCCAAAACAATGAACAAACAAAGAGCCAAAGTACTTGCCCCATAAAAGCCATAAAAAAAAGACAGCAAAAATAAGAATGCTGCGCGACCCAAAAGCAAAACAAATTTTCGGCATGTTGCCATAATTTAGGCAAAAAGCGCAAATAACACACCAGCTCACACATACACACACACATTTATATATATATCTTTATAGACAAAAGGCTATTTCTCTTTTTGGGTTTTTGAATTGCCAAAGTCCCTTTATAATAGTCTGCTGGAATTGGAAATAAAAGTATAGCACAGAATATATTGACAAGCGTTGGCCATTAAAATGCCAAAGCATTAGGTCCTTTCAGCGTTTTTTATGGCCCGGCCTAGGCATGCGTCAAGTTCAAGGTAACAAATTTTGCGAAATAAAAACCGATTTGTGATTGAACGAGCAGAAGTTATTTGATATATACATATATAGAGAGAGAGCAGAAAGAGAGAGAGAGAGATAGCTGTGCTGTCGACCAATTACCAGGGCTGAAGCTCAATTTGATGTCACATAGCTCGACTTGTCATTTGTTTGTTGCCAAGGTAGCTGCTGCCATGAACAAGTAATTGGCCCAACGGTCGAATGTCGAGTGTTAAACGCGCCAGTTGACTGCGCCTTACACGGAGCTGAACAATTTGCCAAGTTACGCTCTCTAAGCTTTGCCAACTAAATATATGTATGTAGGCCATAAAAACTCACACTTGCGAAATTAATATAGTACCCGCTATAGCAGGTCATTTGTTTAGTTAGCTACAAAAATATACACAAATAAATTAGACTGCAAGCCGCTAATTAAACAAAAACAGAAATATTCAACCATATTTTTTTTAACTTACATAACTTAAGCTCGACTTAAATATATCCTGCACACTAATCAAGCCCCGAAAATTAAAATATTAAAAATATCAATGCCCAAAATTAAAGTTAGAACGTTGCAGTTGAATGTAACCGAATGCACAATACGCTCACATTTAGTCTTTAAACTATTTAATTTAATGAGAATTTATATTTTTATTTATTTATTTTTATTGGATTAATAATTAAAGATTAAATGGGAAATTTGAAAAAATTTAAATTTTCTTTGGACATAAATTCAAAATACCCCTTTTTCAAAATTAATTACTTCTTTGTGCTAAATCAATATAAATAAATTAAACATGAAAACATAAAATATAATTAAACATGGCAAATGGTATTAGTTTTCAAGTTCGGCATGGTTCGAAATTCCCTAAAAAGGTTATACGATTGGCAATTATTTCCTATGAAACTAGCCCAAAATATGTGTATTTAAGCTTTAGTTGTCAGCGACCAATTAGCGTAAAAAATCTGTAGTTATCTGAAATTTAAAGCTGTTGAAAACAACAAATTTGAATTGACCATCTGCTTTAATTGGGTATTATTTTCAGTTTGATTAAAGCCGCTCGCTTCAGTCTCGTTACTAATGAGAAACGAAACTCGGCCGCATTATAGTCGTAATCAGGCTCTTTTCCTCTTTCACTCTCGGCCCGTGTCGGTTACTAAATTAATTGCATACAAATTATTTAATAGTAATAAACATAATAAACAAGAGTGTGTGCGCCAGTAACGAGCCTGCAGATGGTAGAGGTGTAGGAAGAGGGGAGAGGGGAAAGGAGATTGGTGGCATCAGTAATGCCCCATGGTACAGGCAACAAAAATGCATAATGAGCATTAAAATGCTGCGGGAAAACAGTATGCGGAAAATGAAAATGCAATGGCAGTGCCAGGGACGTGTCACTGCTTGGATGTGTGTGTGTGTGTGTGCGGGTGTGTGTTCGAGTGCATTTTCTATATAGCTTGCTATGCTCGCATATAACAGGATTATACAGCATACGCATACATATCTGAATGGGTCTAACCAGCCAACGCAGGCTTGGCCGTTCATGTATTGCTGCTACTCACGTTCTATTTGCTTAACATTCTAAACGAGTCCTTTTCATTAGTAAAGCTAAAAAAAAAATGGGCCCGGAAATAATAATTTAACATGCCGGAATCTACATACACTTACTACAATATCTATTGTTAAATAAGTTTAAGCTAGAAATTTTAATAAACGGCGTTTTTCAAGAATATTATTCATATGAGTATTCTTTAAGAGTCTTTGAATATAATGATTACAGTTAACAATTTTAAGCTTTTCTTTGTAAGAATCAATTAATTAACCGATTTAAACGAATCAAAGGGTCAATGTACATTGAAGTACATTAAAATTCATATGATGTATTAATATTACATATATTTTAATTTCACAATTTGCATATTTTGTTTGAAATAAACCCTTTCCCAGAAGATTCATTTTAGCAAACAATATTTGTTTATATAATTCTACTTGACAAACCAATCAACAAAGCCTACATGCCATAACTGTGAGGTAACATAGCGCTCAAATATGGGCAAAGGGCGTTAGCTGGGGGTGCACTATGCTAAAAAAAAAAAGAATTGGCGCATATCAAATTGGAAATAAAAAGCATAGAGTGCAGGCGAGGCACATGAAATAAAATGCAATTGCACTTTGCACAAAAGTTCAACGCATTCAGGGCTGGTCCGATGCCGCCCGTAAGCCCCCCTTTAACACCCCCCCCCCCCCCCCTTCAAAACCTAGAATTCAGTACACAGACCTTATACGGGAATCCGGACTGTTCGTAAAACTGGAAATCAAAGCGCAAACGGCAACGGCAATGGCAAACTCACAACTCAATGGCGGAAGTTTGCATTTTCGCAACGAATTCATAATCATGTTGAATCGTAGTGGCTAAAATTCCCCAGCCCGCCACCAAGCCCCCTTCGTGGCTTCCTCTTTCGCACACATATCCACAGACACAGACACAGATACAGATACAGGCTATGCCATTTGCCATGTTAGCTAAAGCACAGTTTATCCTTTTTGATTTGCAGCCTGTGTGACTGGCAGCGAACGGCGGGTGGCGGCGGGTCGCGGTTGGCGGGCGGGTGCATTGCATGTTTTGGCCGCTGCTGTTGCACTTCACTCTTCAGCGACTGAGTAGTAAATATTATTTCGTTTCAATTCAAATAAAAAAAATGCACAAACACACTAACACACACAGATACTCTCTAAAACACATACATACAAATAGCGGAACACAGGAACAGGCACGTATGCTGAAGCGTTGCTTGTGTTTGCATTTGTTAGAGGGACGCAAAAGGGTTCTATAAGCAAGCCCGATAAGGAAATACCCTCTATCCAGCTCTGAGCGGAAAATCCCGTTTATTCCAGTCCGAACAATCGCAGGCAAAATCTGTGGTCCTCTTTCCGTTTTCTTTTCTGTTTATTGTCTGATTTATATGTAATATTCAGAATATTAAAATGGCGTTCAAAGGTATGCATATGCCAAACATTTAATTATATATATGGACATATTTGCATTTTCGATATTGGGCAGAAATTATAAAATAAAATACTAGCATCAAATCGACTTAGCTGGTAGCTATTCTTGTCTATGCAAAGGGTGAACTTATATTTGAAAATTTAAGTACTTATTTCCAAATTGCAAGTTTCTAGCTATAGTATCCGAGTATATAAACCCTTTTAAGCACCTTCTCACGCAGTACAGGGTATAATATAGGAATGTAAAGCTGAGTAAAGCCAGCTCAGACAAATAAAAAAAATAAAAAGAGCGAAAAAACTTGAAATAGCCATCCGCCAGTCGTTGATATTTCAAATGAGCGGAAATTACACGTTGCAAAAATATGAATTATTAAATTTTCGCTATGAAACTGGCAATAATAAAAGAACTAACAGCCAAAGGGACGCGTACGAGGTTAGCATTTTGCTAGCTCTCAATTCTATACCCTATACACATTAAATGGATAAAAAAGAGATATAATGCGATGAGAACATATTTTGTGTATACCACACCCCTGTAAAGCATAACGATTTGTTTATAACGGCTCGAATATATACTTTAATCTCATAAATATGAAGGATATAATTTTAATTTTTGTATAACAAAAGGACAACACAACTTTGTGCTATTATGTGCTATGACAAATTAGGACTATTGAAAGATTTTTCAGTGCGAAGGTTTTGTTGTAGGGTATTTGAAAGTCGTGTACATTCAAATTTCTGTCCCTGTATGTGTGTGCGTTTGTCGATTTTCGTGCCGTTGCAAAACTTTGAAATCTTTATTATTAACCAACACTGGCGCTGGCTTATGGGCTTACATGCCTCTTATGCGAGCGTTACTTATGTATGCTAGGCAAAGTTTAAATGTATGGGAATAAGGGCTAGCGTGCTGGATTTAAATAAAAGAAGTTTATAACTAATCTCGTAATGCAAAAAGTGTATGTACAATATTAATGAAAAAGTGAAGAACAAACAAATATATGTTGCAATGAAATTAAGTTAAGTTAGAAAACGTATTTCAAAAACTAAAACAAAACTTGTTCGGATTTTTAAGTTTAAATTAAGATCCAGTGTTGAATAGGGGAAGTAGATTCAAATACTTTGACTGACTTCTATAAATATAATGTTACTCAATAAACCTATCAAGCTGAAAGCTTTAAAGGTTAATGCAATTGGCGAGCAATATTTATTGCTTTATAAACATGTATCTCAAACAAAAAAGGGAAAAGGTGTGTCGTGTATCTTAATATAACAGGAAAAAATATTAGTATTTTCGTATTTAAAAATCTTTCATTTAGTTACACATAAAATTTAAACTTACCATTCAAACTAAAATCAACCAACTGCAAGAAAGCCGTATGTATGTTCACATATATATATATATACATATATATATGTATATAAAATTTTGTGAATTTCATAGCTGACACAAAAGGTATTTGGCGAATTTTACCTAGTTTCAAATATTTTTGCCATTTGCAAAGAAATGTTAAATGGAAATGCCTTTCTGAAGGAAAACAGCGATATAAATATCTTCCAAATAACTCTGCAAAAACTCAACTTCAAAGTGTGAGTGTGTGTGTATGTTTTGGATAGGTTGAAATACGCGCTATCATATTTGCCACACACACACACAGAACTGTTTGAGCACGTGTGTTAGTGTGTGTGTGCTATATCCTGTTACAGGAAATGACTGTCATGTTGTCATATTTTTCAGCATTTCGCACCAAAATGCATGCAAAGCTGACAAAGCTGAATAGAAAGAAAAAAATGATACAGAATAATGTGTTGGAACTCAATGGGTTAAGCATTTGAAGGATGTTTTGTAATTCCAACGATAAATGGCGCCATTGAATGTCATAATCAAAGGGAATTTCGAAATGTTTTAAACGTTATCGGCTTAAATCGGGGTTTTGGTAAAAATTGATGAATTGGTCGTTTTTCAAATTTAAAAAAATATTGTTTTTGATTTTCTTGTCGACAGGTCAGACACAAAATTCGGTAAGTTTTAAATACCCAATGCTTAAATGCGCCAAGGTTTAAAGTTTAAATAATCAACTATATTTTCTCATATATACTATGTACTTCTTTAGTCACAAGCTATCTGAAAATTCACTTAAAATATCGAATTACAGGATAGTTAATCGACCGGTTAATAAGCCTGGTGAATTGAATGAAATTGAATGATGTTTCATTTCTTGAACACCTTTTAATAATGCCTAAAACTATTCATGTATTTGTTCCTTAAGAATAATATAAATAATATTTTTACAAAAAAATATTACGAAAGCCAATTCTTGTTAATAAATACAATTTCCTCCCTAATTTGTATTTAAGAGTTAAGCGAAACAATTTTATACAAATCACAAATAATTCATAATCGTATTTTCATTTTTTCTTTTCATTCTTTAACCATAATTCAAAAGGTTGCCTAAAAAATGTTAATATAAACATTTCCTTTGCCTTTAATTGCTTTTTTTCTTCTACTTATACAACGCCTTCAAGTGTGCAATTAGATTCTTGGGCTTATTATAATTGCTCATTAAATGCTTGACAAACCCAAACGGAAAAGTATCCCAAAAAAATTTCCAATTATCCTTTGAGGTTGCTAAATTAACGCAAATTTCTAACTAAAAAAAAAAACGAGCACGAAAGCCATTCGGAAAGGTCAGGAGAACAAATGGCAAACGTTGTCTAACCTTTAAGCATATGAGAACGGAAAAGATTTTGAGACTAGCAGCTGGTTTATCCAACCTGCATAATTTATGTGGGCGTGGCTGTTAAGGGGGGCGGCGCATGGCAAAATTTTACATCATTAAATGCCAAATGCATCATTTAATTTGAAATTATAAAAGAAAACAGAAAACATAAAATCCCACTGATAGAGAGGGGCCACAAAGCACAATAGCGATTATTTATGTGGCCAAAAGAGAAAAGAGAGAGACAGAGAGAGAGAGAGAGAGAGAGAGAGAGATAGACTATGAGGCAAAAAGAGAAAGAACAGCGCCTGACAAACTGGCAGTCGCCTGTGTTGTCCTTGATAATAAAGCAAAGTTTTAACGTCGAGTCTCCAAACACCAGCATCATATTTCTCGTATCTTGTGTCTGGCTGCATTTTTATGAAATACGAGTTCATTTTTATCCAAAGCCGTTGGGAATGGGGACGGAGCTTTGTGGAAAATGATGGCAACTCACCTGTAAAGAGAAAATGTAGCAGAAAACAAACATTAGAATAGGCAGTTAAGTATATTTGATTAAGGTTTTATGTCTGGGCCCATTGTCTGGCTAGCAAAAGGAGCCCAGGATGTGGCAATTAACGTTGTATAAATAATTGAAAACTGTTTGCATTCTTTATGGCCTTCCCCTGCTTTAACTATACAAGACTTAACATAAGATGACTACGATTTGCCGTTCAGCTCTCGAAGTCCCTGATTTAAAGGCGCCCAAATTATAAAATAATTATTTTACAGGGTGTTCATAATGACTGGAAATCATTTCTATTTTAATAGACTTCCTTATATATTAATCGACTGATTGAGCAATTGATTGAAGGCCTTGGAAACTTGGCTAACTAACTGCTGAATTAACTAAGCAACCCACAGCCTAAACTGTTTAAAATAGCTTAAGCTTCATTTTTACACTAGGTTCTTTTACAAATAGGAAGAAATTTCACATTTTCAACTAAATTGTTTTACTCCAATAGAAAATCAAGAATTTTAATTTTTTTCATTTTACCGAGACGGAAATCTGTAAAAAAAATAAGTTAAGTATATAAAAAGACAAAGTTTGAGTGTGAATAACACTAGACATTGCTCTGACAACAGTAAAGGACATGCACATACGTTATATTCGTAATGCTTTTTTTAAGTCCATTCACAAATGCATCAGAGTCGGTTACGCTGCTATAGAAAGAAACGAACGAATTTGTGAACTATAAGCATGTCATCTGCTAAATGGCAGCAAGGGTATTTGATATTCGGCATTTTCACAACTCTTTTCTTTTGGCATTTTTTCTAGTTGCCAATTATCATGGGCAGGTTTTTTTGCACACATGTATTTAATATTTGTTGCCAAGGCTGGTAAAATCTATTTGTGTCACGTTGCCAAGTCTTGGACCCTGCACGAGCCAAGTTTTCAACACACACAACCACACACACACACACACACACACGGGCATACACGCGCGAGCGCGTGAAACAGCTTGGTTGTGCGAGCTGTGTTGCCAGTGGCACAGCACAGGAAGGAAAGGAAGTTACGCCCCTCGCACACGTTGAATTATGAAAATTATAAACAAATTAGCCATACAGCTAGGATTATGTAGTGTGGCTTTGTTGTTGGAGTTGCATAAATTAGCGCCCCTCAAGTCGAAGAGCCTCAGCAAACCTCACCAAGCACTCGCCCCCTCATCCATTTGTAATCTGTCCTAAATCTGCTTGTAATATGTTTAAAATAATTGGAGCATTGGGTATTAGCGGTTATAATAGCCCTTAGCTAACTATTTCGAGTCAGCCAAGTCGGTTGGCTGGTTAAGTGGCTTAAACTGCGGCCCTGGACTGTGGATTAGCATAACAAATGCAAATTATGATAATGACATATCAAATTTACGCTTGTGTTAGCCCTGACATAATTCAGAAATTTTGCATAAAATGAATTCGGAATAATAAATAAAACTATAGGATTTCGGAAGCAAAGTACACTTTCTCTAATGCATTTATTGTGTTTAATGAAGAAAGATAAAAATTATTTGCCCGCATTTCATTCTTTATGGTATTGAATAAAAACTTAATTCCACAAATAGTTTGAGTTTAGTTTATAAGTTTAAGCATTTATTGAATTCCCAAATAAATAAATTTTAAATCAAAAATTTGTTTTGGACTAATATGCACTCAACAATTTTAAGCTCTTTGGTTCGGACTTAGCCCATATTTAAATATAAATCCCTTAAGTTATTAAATAAAATTGTGCACTCAATGTAGACATATATATATGTAGACAGAATCTAATGCCTTTTCTCAAACTGATTTGATTTTCTTTTCCAATTAATATTGGACTTTTTTTTTATTTATATTTACAAAAAAAGGTAAGGAAATCAGAGAATAAATTACCAAAACCTTATCATCATATTTCATTAGTAACTGTATCAGTAAAAAATGTTAAATACAAGCAAGCTAGAATTAATTTTATATAGCGCATTAAATTGGTAAAAGTCTGAAGATAAATCAGTTGACTTTTATGTTTATACATAGCAAAAATTATTAAAATAGAAATATGTTTTTGAGAAAAAAAGGATCAGAATTTGCTGCGTAGGACGTAGCCTTCACACACATTTTAACCAAATGTCATTTGCAGCCATTGAACACAGGGTCCTGGCCACCCCGCAACGCCCACGTGACAGGTGCAATCACGTGCGTGTCTCGGCCAGCAGAGACCATTAAACCGAATGTTGCATCAACCTGGTAATTAAAGCCATGCGCGCCGCAAATGTCAGTTAGCTGCCAGCGGTAACAGCAGGTAACGGTACCAGAACCATAGAAACAGGACTAGGAACAAGGACGTGCCAGCGGTCGAAGGCTTTGCTGGCCCCAAACTCCCCGCTCAACTGGACTCAACTCAGGGTGACATGTGTTTGTGTGTAAGTGTGCGTGTGTGTGTGTGTGCGCTAGTTAACGCTGCTGTTGCCTGCCTCTGGGACCTGCAGCTGCTGATTGCGCTACGTGGCCATAACCGGACCACGGCACAAGCTGTGGCACGCATAAAATGGCGACGTCTTGCTGCATTTCATTTACTGCATCGGTTACGGCAACTGCAACTGCAACGGCAACGGCAACGGCAACGGCAATAGCAATGGCCCTGGCAATGGCGATTTCAACTGCATTCCGCATTGTGCATTGTGAATTGTGCACGTGCATTGTGAATTGTGAATTGGGCATTGTGCATGTGCATTAGCGAGCACAACACAGGGCGACGCTCAAAGAACGTCCGCCCGTCGGGTTCGCCCAACGCAACAGAGAACTTCACTGTGCGCACACTGGTGCAAAAGATATATATTTAGTCAAAAAATGTTATATTTTTAATTAAAAAACCTTACATTAAAAAAAAATAAGTGTCATTTATATTGTATAAATTAAAATAATTGTGCTTTACTTATCACCAACTAAGCAATACATATTCTATATTATACTTTAAATATATTTGATAAGAAATGGAACATATGTAAACAAGAGCTTACATTATTTGTTTTGCGCTCAAATAAAAACAGTTTTGAATCATTTTCCTAGATCGGCGGATCGAACTATGAATTCCACGACATGTTCAGCAAAATTGAATATAAAATGCATTATTTTATTAATATTTGCACTAGTGCAAATGTGTTATGGCAGCAATAAAGCTGAAAGCTTGGTAAGTATAGTTTGAGTTTTAATGGAAAGTTCATTAATAGCATTTTTCAGAGCTGTGCAGCAATTAAGGAGTTGGACAGGGAGTGTGCGACCTATTGTTACCGCGTAGTAAAGCCGCTCCTACAACAAGCATCAGACGCTTACTTGAAAGAACAAGAATTTACAATATTACAGACACGAGTTCATGAAAAAGAGACCATAATTAGGAACATGCAAAAGGAGCAAGCCATTCTACAAGCCAAATTCGAAGCTCAAAATCTCTTATTACTGTCACACAAAGATAATTTAGCCTCTAAAGATGCCCTAATATCAAACGCCAGAATGCTGATTTGAAAGAATTACTACAAACTAAAATCCAACAAGCTACACAAATTACAGACTGTAAATCGGCGACTACTATAAAAATCAAAGAACTGGAAGGGAAGCCAACAAAATGTAGCTTTGAATCTAGAGTTTCCAGTTGTTTGACCAATAAAACCGAAGTACAAGAGACTAAGGTTTACGATATTAAAACCTTTTCAGCGCCTTGCGATTCAGACTTGGCAGGACCTGGTTGGACCGTTGTCCAGAGGCGTAAGGATGGCAGCGTAAACTTTAATCGGAGCTGGAACGAATATCGTCTAGGATTCGGCGATCCGCAGGGAGAATTCTTTTTGGGACTCGAAAAGCTCCACCTGCTTACAAAAACCCAACCGCACGAGCTCTTTATATATCTCAAGATCTTTGAAAACGAAACAGTTTTCGCTCGCTATGATAATTTTCTTATAGGCGATGAAAGTGAATCGTTTCGAATTAAGTCCTTAGGATTATATACTGGGACTGCTGGCAATTCCCTGTCAAGTCATATTGGCATGAACTTCAGTACAATTGATCGCGATAATGATTTCTCTGAGTTAAATTGTGCTTCTGAATGGTCGTCCGGTTGGTGGTTCCGCAAATGTCTCAGCTGGTAAGATTAAGCTTACACCTATTTAGCTTTACACAACACTAACTGCAGTTCATTATTGATTTTTATTTGTTCGATTTTTCTAGTAATCTGAATGGTATATATGGAGTTAACTATAATTATTCTGATATCAAGTGGAATGTCCTTAATATAAAGAAAAAAGCTTTTTTTGTACAAATGATGATTCGACCAAAAACTACTTAAAATCTCATAAGAACAACATGCTACAATCGATTATACAAGTAATACACTTTGATAAAAAATAAAAATAAAAGATGAACTGTTCAAAAAATAATGAAAATCAATAAAGAAAGGACATATTCGTTAGCTCTGTTGTAGTTTTTACATTTTTTAGTTATTACCAGAAAACAATGATGCATAGTTTGATATACAAAAAACAGACTATGTTAATTTAGATTTTTGTTCGTTGTTTGATCATTAAAACTGGAAGAAAAAATCGACACATCTGGAAAGTCAAAATATAATTTGACTCAATCCAATATTAAAAACAAAACTATTAAGCTATTTTACCAACTATTTATAGTTGGGAAAAATATAAAAGATATACATATTGAACTATACGTTCAGAATAAAATATTATAGCCTGATTAAGTTTTTCAATAAGGCTCTTGTATTTGATTTTTCTGTGTTACTTTTTACGTGACATTAACCTTGTAACTGAGATTAAACTCTGAATAAAGTTTTGTCTAGTGTATATGTATATTAAAGTTATACCACTGTGAACTGGACAGCTGCTGTACTCAACTTCCGGTATGTGCGCATTGTACGTATATACATATACATATACACTGAGCAATCCGGCAACCTGCTCAACATGTTAATGTGCCAGGCGTCCAGCAATGAATCCCCCACAGCCGCTTGACTTCTATTAGTGGGTTGAGTGTGCGGCATGGGGAGTTATGTTAGTGAGTGTGAGTTGAATACGGGAGAGTTCGGCTACGTGCAGTCTCCAAAATTGCCGGTCAGTCCCACAATCCGCACTCACACATACGAAGTTGCAGTAGCTGTTACGGATGCTGTTCCCTTCGCCTTTCTCAAAGTTCATTTTGCATTCTTCGCTGTCAGCTGCTCTTTGTGTTCCGTTTTTTTTTTCTCTTTCTGTTATTTTATTTTACTTCATTTTTTTCTTTTGCTGCTATTTCTATTTGATTTTATTGCTTTTGTCTTGCTATATGTGTACATATATATTCTTTCAAGTGCGTTTTTTTTTCTACTTGCTTTTTATGACTTGTAGGGATTGAGTCTATTTCATTTTGCTATACTCTCTGCCTGCTGATGATTTGACTGGGGTAATAATAAAATATAGAGTAAAGTCCATGGAAGATGATGGCTTTTTAGATATGTGTGTCTGTATTTAATTTAATGTAATGCATAGTGATAAAAATATATTTTTATATAATCATCAATTAAATTATTCTAGAGTATAGATATCATTTAATAAACAAATTTCATAATATATTGTTGTTTAGATATTGAAGTGTTCTTGAGTGTTTCTCGATGAGTTTTACTCTTGATAAAATAAAATACTATAAATAATAGAATTTTATCTTATCACATAGACATTCAGAGGGTAACCCTTAGTCGAACATAGCTGAAATATCTAGCTCAATTTGTATATTTTTTATAATTTCCAAGCGAACTTCCAGTCGCAACCAGTTACACGCTGACAACAGCCACTGAATTGGGATTTCTTATCAGTTTAATGTGCTTCGAGAGACTAAAAAGATGTTATGTGTGTGTGTGTGTGTGTGTGTGTGTGTGTGTGTGGTTGTAGGTGTGTGTGTGCTGCTATCAGTAAAATAGAAGCCAGCCAGACGTTAAGAAATGTGAAATTTGTATCAAATTACCGAACCAAGCAAATATTGTCTATACAATTTTGAATGTCTGATCCTTGGAGTTGCAAACAAAAGTTTTAGCAATGCCTTTCAATATGTCAAATATTTTTCAGAATAAAATTGACAACGGGGCTCATGACATTGCATTTGCATTCTTTAACTAGAAAATGTATTTAATTAAGCTAAGTACTGAAAAGATAAAAGTCTTCTCAGATAATAAAAGTGACAGTTTATTATATGGCTGTAATTAGATACATTTATTCTATTATTTACATTTTGAGATTAGCAAATGACTTTCACAAACTTTGAGTTATTAACAAGGCATGAAATAAGTCAGCTGATTGCCATTTATTTATTTTTAGTCATCTTAGGGTTTAATATATAAGAGAATATTTCTTAAATTCCTAAATATATATAATTATAAATATGTTAGCAACAAATTATAGTTATCTCTTACTTCTTACTGAGCAAGACAAGTTGTCAGCTACAGACGTTAAAACATAAACCGGCATCTACTTATTGGCCAAGAACATGGTTTTCATGAAACTTTTGATTCTGTTTTAGAGGGTATATTAGGAATAAAAATATATCCACAAGTTATTTGTTTTTCTTTATGTATTTAAAAATTCGTTTCTCGTTTCGGTTTGCCTCTTTGCAATATCAAATAAAATCCATTTGTAATTCTTTGACTATTATCAATCAAAAAACAAATATGCCATTTAAAAAATATTTATTTAAGGTTATGTAGATCTGATTTCTGTGCAAAACATTACGTGAGTTGAACCAGATACTGTTTTGTCAAGGACACCCTTTTTTTCTTAGCAAATTTTTGCAAAATATATGAGTACATTTTTTTAGACCTTGACAGTCTATCATTATTTTCGCTATTTATTGATAAGAAATACTTTCTAGTTACAAGTGATTTTCCAGTAAGCAAACAACACTTTGAGTACTCAAGAATTCCAGGGAAAAAACAAGCACATTATCGGATTTAGCATTCGCATCAGCTTGCAAACTTGACATTTGAACTGCAGTTCCAATTAAAACGAGGAAAACAAAATAAACAAAATATAAATAAGGCACATGTCAAAGGCCCTAATTAATCGAGTTCATTGCCTGACCAGCAAAAAAAAAGCTTGTCAAGCAAAAGTAAAAAAGAAAAAAGGTTTACAAAAATCAAAAGGTGCAAATAAAGCATGAAGACCGAATGAAGTTGACGCTGATGACCTTCGCTTAAGGTTCAGTGCCGGCAGCGATTTATGCAACACGGCAGGGTGTCAGAGAGAGAGAGAGCCCTGCAAAAGGCACAAGCCTCGTAACTGACACCCTGTGAAACCCAACAGCGCCCCAAGCCGCCCACCCGTGCCTAGTTCCAGCCACTACCCAGTGCGCCTGCCAGTCATGCAAATGACAGGTAATTGACCTCATAAGGCACACAGCGAGCGAGAAGGAGCGGCAGCTAAGTGTGCGATATATGCAACAATTTTTACTTTCCATGTGTTATTTGATGTATGTGCAAGTTGGGTATGCTACCCTCCCCCATTCCAGTTTCCACTCTTAAATGTGAGTTGTGTGTTGTACGTTTTACTCTATGTTTTTTTTTTACGCCCTACCAGAGGGTAAAGTAAAGTAAAGTCCACAATAAAAAAAATGAAAATCGAATGTTAACTAATTTCCCAGTCGAGTTATATGATTAACATATAACATCGATTACTTCTCTTGTGGTAGTTATTGCAATCGTCAAGATCCGCAAATTCTGACTATTGTGTGATAATAAAACAATAGCTAGGAAAATAACTATATATAACTATTATATTAAATCATTTCTAAGTTAGTTCAATGTAATTTCCTTAGAGCCAAGGGTTAAAGTAACCTCATAATATGACAAATTATTTGCTTATTATATTTTGGAAAAAAAGAAACTAAACATTTACGAATTTTATCGAACGACTTACTATATGATATAGCTCTGATATAAACAACGTTTTCCCATACAAATCGAATACAATTTAAATTGTTTTTATTTTTTTTTAAGATTTTCTCTTATACAAGTGCTTTGTGTCTGACAGGGCATTAAAACGTCGGCAGGTCCACAACAGCCAGGTGATATTTGTTACTTTTATTGTTTCTCTTTTTTTTCGCCCATTTAAGTATAATTTTGTAACTTCTTTTTAGACATTTGTCACGTTGCTTTGTACGTGAAATTCTAAAATGTTAATGTGCCAGACGAGCGGCAACTTAGTCTGGTTCCGCTGGGTCGCTTTAAGTGCGTTCTCATATCTGAAGCAGGCCTTAATGTGTAGCTAGTTCACATTGGCAAATGTGTTGTGAGTGTGTTCGAGTGCGTTTGTGCCTACAACTTCTGCTTACATTTTCCATAAGTGCGTTTTCTTTCGGTGTGGGTAAACGAGCAATTGCGATTAATTGCACTTGATAAAATGCCATTAAAAATTGTAAAACAGAAAATTGCAACTTGTTGTCTTTCAACAAATCTTCCAATTCGGATCCCTTCCAAGTGTCATTGCTTTTTTTTCTAATTTGCACAAAAATATATTTAAAAAAAAAAGCGACATCATGTTGCGTGGGAAACTTTAAAGCACAATCAAGTTTTCTAATGTGAGTTAAGTTTTTAAAGAAAATTTCAAAATTATCGTTCATTTGATCTTGATTAAATGTGAGTGTAGTAAAACAACTCGCAATTTAAATAAATAGTGTCATATCTTTTGAGCAACCATTGTGTAAGTATTATACTACAGCTTATTCTCGACATATGTATGTAGCACGGTGAAAAATCTGTTTGGCGAACAGCGACTGTCAGGCGACAAGAGGAGTTTCCGCTTCATGGGGGCGGCTTGAGTTAAACTTAAAAATAAATAAATAGCTTGACAGAAAATATCCGGGCGCCCGCCTAGGAGGAGTAACCGTTAGGAGAGTATCCACTATATGCACATATCCATGAGTGTGTGTAATTCGAAAATTTCGCAACATTTCCGATTCATTTGGCATTCAACAAATGTGCCAAGAAATTGTGATATATTTCAACAGCTTAAGGAAGAAGAGGGAGCATGCAAACTAAATCCAATCGCCATGAATTTATGAATTTTATGCGTGTTTATCAGCAAAACATGCCGCTGGGCCCAGTCCGAGTAGCAACAAGAGCTGGCATAACAGTGCCAACAACAAGGGGAATAATCGCAGCACAACAACAAATGTGCGTGATAGAACGCGTAGGCAAGTCGAGTCCAAGCTCAACCAAAGCACAAAGAAGGAGGGAGAAAGCGTGAGTAAGAGCGTGAGTAGACGTGAGTGGGAGCGTGAGTAAGAGTGAGCGCGATAGTGGGAGCTTAAGCAAGAGGGTGAGCAGGAGTGAGAGCGTAAATTAGAGAACGAGCGTTAGCCCCAGATACGAGCAAGCACAATCGCAAGCGT